ATACTAGGGGCCCATGGGTTCAAGCTTAGATAACATGGGGTTTAGGGTTTAGGGTAGACCACCGAAGCACAAACTGCCCCTCTCCCTGGTGCGTGGAAGATCTGGAGAGCGGAGGTCACCTGACAGAGGATGGGAAGAAGCATAGATCAGTGGCCCGATCCTCAGTACGGTTTAGGGTTTAGGGTTTAGGATTACTTTCGGCACAGCTGGGCCTAGAGCCTGAAAAGAGGGGCTTAGATCCTCCGATGTAGGTCCTTCTTCTGGCTGTCACCTTTCGCCTATCTCTCACGGTTTTCATCCTTTACCAAGGAGACGGGGAGCAAGATGAATCCTAAAGACCGAAACCCGTAAACTAAACCCTCCAGCCCTAAAGCCCTAAAGTGCGTGTGAGTGTCCAGGTCAGGGACAGTCAGGGCTCGAGCCCAGGGTCTCAAGGTGAATGACGAAATGCCGAGCTTTGGAAAAGGGGGGAGGGGGGTAATGTAGACGGTGTGTATACGTATATGGGTGACTATACATCGTCACTGTAGCCTATAGGGGTGGCATCAGGATTTTTAGGGCTTGAGTGTTTGGGCCGGAGTTTTTGGATGAGGGGGTTGAGATTAGAGTTTCGTGCTGTCGAGCTTTAGAGTCGTTCCGGGGTTCAGGGCTTAGGGATTTTGGAATTCAGGGCTTGGGGATTTAAGGTACCGGGCCTTGCATCTAATTTTTGTTCGCCGTCCAGGTGCTCCTGTCTTTCAGCGATGCTGTGAGACTCAGGATTACTATAGGGGCCAAAATTATTACCAGTAAACTAACTAATTTGGGGTTCCTTATTCGAATCATAGTATAGTATGCCCCAAAACCCTATTCTAATTATCAAGGCCCCTATGTAGTATGCGAACTGTCCTCGCAAGGGGCCGGCCCTGAATTCGCGGGAAATGCCTGTGGGCCAAAACAGGGCCACGCTTTGGGCAGACCCGACAACAAGCTGGGCTTGCAAGTTCTCAGGAGAAATCAGGAAGTCATCTGGTCACACGAGCTGCATGTGTAATTGGTGGTTATGGTGGTGGTGGTGGTGGTGGTGGTGGTGGTGGTGGTGGTGGTGGTGGTGGTGGTGGCGGTTGTGGTGGTGGCGGCGGCGGTGGTGGTGCTGGCAGGAAAAAAATAATATGCTTCTCGATGCTGAAGAAGATGATGATGGACCGCGGTGGTAGTCATAGTACGTGGTAGCAGAGCACTGGCACTAGTGCCGACAGTAGTGAAAGTAGCGACAGCAAGGCAGCCGGATTGGTGCATCTAGCGGAGCTGGAGAATTCCTTCGATCAAAATACCAAGTCAATTGTAGCTGCTCGGTCAAATACGAGAAAGAACTGCCTGAGATCCTTGAGGACCTTGGCTTGAAAAGGAATGCAGCCTGCATTGCAGTAAGGATGCTGTGGCAAACTACCCCCCTTTCCCCCTGCCCCTCCACCTTTTCGGATCCTTGCGAAGTGCAGTGGGCAAAGCCAGCGCCGAATTTCTAAGCAGTGTTTCCATGCGATCTAAAGTATTAGGGCACTTGCAGCTAACTAGGGCAATGGCGGCCAGAGATACGGTGCCCCCAAGCAGTCAGAGGGCATTGAATCCGGAACAGCAGCTGTTTTGCAGCTCGAAGGCTTCAGTGGTAGGTGGTCGGCTGGGCTTAGGGTTTAGGGCTTGGGGTTTTGGGTTTTGGGTTTAGGGTTTGGCAGGCCGAGCCAACCCTCACAACGGGGATGTGTTTTCTGCAAGGGCTCTGTGGGCATAGCTTATACTTGACAAATGCGATGCTGGTAACTGCTAGCTGCTAGCTATACACAGCACCCGGCTTCACATTGCCCCAACCTAGCTGGTCGCGGCATCCTTTGCACAGGCTGGATGTGGGTATAGGCAGCATTGAAGGGAAGTCCAGTTCACAATGCGCAGCAGAAAGGAACTCGATCCTTTAGGCACCAAGCAAAATTATGAGCCATGTGTCAGGATACACCCAAATGATTACACCCTAAAACATCAAGACCCTACACCCTGTTCTGTGTCAATATTTGGCGTCAGGGACGGGGAGGTGGACAATGCGTCCTTCACGTGCAAATTCATGGAAGCATCAGGTGTACTGACGGAGAGCCCATTGTGATAGAAGAGCAGGTAGCAGTACGAAACAATACATGCCTGTACAAGCGGGGTGGGTAGATGGAGACATTTATCACGCAGGAATTTAGCAATGGTGTGTAGCGAGATGTGAGGTTCAATCCACCAGACCCCACCCCGCAAACATTTACCCATACTGGAGGCCTCAAAGTCTTTCATAGCAGGCAGTGGCGGGAGGTTCCAGGCATACGAGGAACTACAGGTTCGAGGCACGGGACAGTTCAAACATCGATGCAGATACTAGTAGCTTGAACTTCTTTTGAAGCAGGAATGTGCGAAAAGCCCTAAATCAACCGTCGTATGGACAATCTTGGATTTCCTATAGGCTGCCGGTGTGAGTGGTGACGCCGCGGAGAGCAGGTCTGCAGCAGAATATCTCAGATCCCTGAAAAAGCCCATAGTATCAAGCGGGGGTATCTGTTGCAGCAGAAGTGAGTGAACAGTCAACGTGCTGCCCCTCATCCTGAAGCCCCGCTGCATCTAAGACCCTCTTTACATACCCCTGTTCACGGCTTATTTTTGAACACGGCATCTGCGACCATATCAGCATACGCATTCGATGTTAAGTGTATTCCTCAGTTGTACCGTGCGGATATCCGGTTGACTAGCAGTACTACGACCCTTGCCTTGTTCAATGCTTGTTCTATTGGTTGGCTCGCATGGGTAGTTTTACGATGCTGTTTTCGTGTGCCACTGGGATTGTTGGAAGGTGCTCCGGGGTCTCCGGCATGTGTTGGATGTTGAAGATCCGTGTCAAGCTTGCTGGCAGTCTCCTGTTTGCCAGGCTTCATTTCAACCAACTCCTCTGGAGACTATTCGGTTCCTAGACCGTGTGCTGCGGGCTCCTGCGAAATGAATGTGCTCCGTGCCGGACGGAATGCCGATGGTCGGAGTTGACGTTTTATTGTAATTTTACGATATTTCGTGTTAAACATGTACACACGAGGGGACCTTCTAGCACGGGCATCGGGAGCATCTCGAACTCCATCTACGAAGGGATCCGATCACACTCGCACGCCCCCGCCAAGATTCCTTCACAGGCATTCGGCACACTAAACCCTACAAGCCCTACATCGTAGATGGACAGATCCTTGCTTGGAGACACTGCTCGAGACAATCCTGCGCTCCGGGGCATCTCTTAGTCATCCTCCGTCGTCGTTGTTGGGATCCACGGCAAAAGGAGGGACCCTGGTTCCACCGACTTGCGCCAGGCAGACATTGGTAAATTCAATCCCGAAGTTGCGTAACCAGGGGTCCCTCCAGCTTTTGCCCTTGAAGTGAGGTGCGGCAAGGGCTTTGGAAGACACTCCGGAACCTTCAGTACAGCAAACTCAGAACCTGAACCCTCAACCCTACACCTTCCCGGGATCTGAGCCTCGGTCAGCAACCCATTCTCTAGCCGTAGAGTCTGAACCCTGAGAACCAACCATAAGTCCAACTACCTCTAATCATAGACTACCCAAAATACAAGCCCGCCAAGCTACTATCCTAAACCCAAGTACTGCATTAGTGAGTCCTTGGGAATCCGAGTGTAAGTTCCCCAAACAACCCTAAACTGTACAACCCCCAAAGCATAGGGAACTTCACTTCCCTTCAAGACAGCTAGGCGGCTCGAAAGTAAAGGTGATTTAGGTCTCGGAGCTTATAGGATGCAGGTTTTAGGGCTAAGGTTTATGTTTGTAGGATTCCAGACTTCGGGCTCGGATTTTGGGATGCAGGAATTGAGGTGTAGGCTTCGGTCCTAAATCGGGTCGCTCGAGTGGTGAGGGTTGAGAAACCCTGAAATTGGGGACAGAAACTGGCAAGAGGATCTCCCAAACAGTGGGCAATCGTAGGGTTGTGAAAGGCCGAGGTTGTTTTTGATATGTGTTGCAATTCAGGATGTTGATGAGAAGCATTTCCGCACCTGTGCACAGAGGCTGTCGGTAGTGCCTCCATTGACAAAGGCAATGTGCAATCACATTGCATTTGGAATAAAGCCAGCCACCGCTTGTCGAAAAGTCTGAAGATGTTATCCTGCTCTGCTACCCTAAGCCCTAAAACGCTAAACCCTATACCCTGTGCTACCGTATAAGCTCTAGGACCAGCATAGGAGTCTGACCGGCAGATAGCCGACAGCCTACACCCCTGAAGCTTAGATCCCGAACGCCGTAAGTTTGCGAGGGCGAACCCTAGCTTTGCGATTTTTTGGGCAGGACTCCTTTCGGGCTTTGGAGATCTCGGGCTTTCGACCTTCAAGACACTAAACCTCTAAAGCCGTAAGTAGGGCAGATAGGTGATTCAGGCCTCTCGCCCTTTACCGTGCTATCCCGAAACGTCCCTCCTGAAGCCGAGCTGAGCTTTTCCCAGGACATGCTCGAAATGTCCCTACAACCGCTAAGGCGTAGGCCCGCTCTAGTCCCAGACCCTGAAGCTGTCTCATATATGTACACATACACATATCTTCCATACCGTATGTGTATACATATATATATATATATATGTATACGCTTATACATCTGCGGTACTTACTTGTTCATGCATGTGTGTACATACATATGTGTTTAGTCTCTGTATGTTTATTATTTCGCGATCGCATCCCCCTTTATGATGCGAAAACACCTTTAACATAAAAATCGACAACACCCTATTCTGAACGTTGAGGCTGCCATATTCTACGGCAAACCCAGTTGTGGCCCCGAGATCTCGATCTGCACTTCCTAATCAATAAACACCTACGCACCAAAGTTCACCTCGCAAGCCCGAACACCTGAGAATTCTCAAAGCCTCCTGAGCCTTACGGCCCAAAGACCTCCTGCGCACATGATCCTTAACTCATAACTAAACCCTAAACCCCAAGCCCTAACCTTACGCAGGCGCATCAAGCCATCGAAGACCGATGATGTGGAGGCCTGCAGAGTCCTGAAGTTCACGTAGGGTTGTAGTTCGGAAGATTGAGGGTTTGGGATGTCAGGGCTAGGGGGTGGAGAGTTTCAGATTTTGAGTTAGGTTTTGGTGTTAGGGTTGGGGGTTCCAGGCGTTTAGAACACACGATCCCAGGAGCAAGCAGAGGTGCATGGGAACTCGCAAGTTATGAGTAAGGTGGCTTTAAGTGTGGCCGTTGCGCTTGTAAGTCAAATTCATGTGCGGACGACTCATTCCTGAACCTATGGACCCACAGCCCTAAGCCCTATGATAGCCCTGCAAGCCTAAAACAAGAACTGCACATTATGAATACCTACGAGACTTGGAGTGTTGGACGAACTCCGGACCCTAAGCCCAAAGCTTAAGCCCTAAGAGGTGTAGATCCTAAACCCGGAACCCCAACCCCCCGCCCCCGCCCGAAACCCTGTGAATTCGAGCCTAGGTCCGGCACCCTCAGATGTGGAAACCCTTAACCCTAAACCCGAAACCCTAAAACCCTAAACCCTAAACCGTGGCTATAGGCCCACGGAGTCCCCAAACTGGAGAGGCGATTGGTTGACTTCGACGCCGAGCTGATAAGAAAGGTTGTAGGAAGGGCAACTATCTATTCCGGAAGCCCTTCTGTGAACCCTAAGCCCTTTAGACCCTCAACCCCAAACTCTATACCCTAAGCCCTATAGACCCTCAACCCTAGACCCGAAACCCTAAGCCCTAAACCCTAAACCCTAAACCCTAAGCCCTAAACCGTAAACCCGAAGCCCTAGAGGCCTGAAGCCCGAAACTTTCCTTTAAACCCGAAGCCCCGAGGCCCGAACTTCGTAAGTCGAGCGGCCTCTCTAAGAAGGAGCGAGGAAAACTTCCTCCCATGAACCATCCACTGCAGCCTAGAGGGGCCCCTAAACTCTAAAGCCGAAGATAGGGGCCGAAATAATTTCCGATACCATTGTTGGGGGGGGGGGGTTCCTTATTATAATCATAGAAGAATGGGCCCCAAACCCCTGTTCTATTATTAATAAGGCTCCTACATTAAAACTCTAAAAACCCCGAGCAAGGAGAAGGAAATGATTGCCCTAAACCCTAAGCCCTCTAAACCACTACCTACAGTCTCCATTGTAGTTCCTTTTTTTGGTTTAACCCTTATATATGAAGGAATTCATAAGGCATCCCCAAGAAGGAACTACAATGGAGACGAGAGGTAAGCCCTAGAAAGCAAGGAGAAGGAAATGATTGTCTTTACCGTTACCAACCTTGCCCTGGAAGAGCTTGCGGAACAACTGCAGGAGTCAGGCGGGGGTTTTAGGTGGGTTCGGGATTGAGGGATTTCGGGCTTAGGGTTTAGGGGTTTAGGGATTTAGGGCTTTAGGGTTTAGGCCTTAAGGATTTCGAGTTCGGGGTTTTAGGGTTGAGTCTTCAAGGTTTTCAGGACTCTCGACCTCGGCTTTGGGTACTGCAAAGCCCGCTGGTTTGCAGAACCAAACCCTAAACGCCTAAACCCCAAATCCTAAACCCCAAAACCCTAAAACTTAAACCCTAAATCCTAAACCCCAAACCCCTAAACCCTAAATCCTAAACCCCAAACCCCTAAGGTCCAGATGGCTTGGTCCAGTTTGAACTCCATGGTTCTAGTTCCCGGAGATTGTCAGTGCAAGCACTTCACCTAGCTTATTTTTTTGTAGGTGCTTTACGATTTAAGGCCAAGGTTTAAGGGCAGGGTGGTTGGGCTGGGGCGGCGAGGGCGGGGTGCTCGGTAAGGCCGAGCTCGCCATAAACTCGAAACTCGCATTCTTAAGACCGAAAAGTCTCAGCCCCTGGACCTTGCGTAGCAGAACCGTCTGCATTAGTTCTGCTACCCGCTGGACATCAACCCTAAACCCTGAACCTTTAAAGCCCGACCACCGTCGGGCTTACTGGCCCCAAGATGCTGGCCAGCCGCAGGCGAGCGGAGCAAAGTGGAAAGTATGAGAGACGACCCCTCCTCCCACATGAACCAGTGCCACAGGCATCGGGAAGCTTGGAAGCTTAGGCTTGGGCTTAAGGTTTGGAGTTTTCTGAGGGTTTGCCGGGTCCAGGCCCAGGGGAGTCCGAGAGTCGTTGAGGTGTGTTTGGTTTTTAGGTCGTGGGGGCCGGAGGGCTGTTGACTTCTGTGTTTGGTTGGATGAGTGTAGTGAGCAGCCCTGAAAACCTGGACCCCTAAAGCCAACCCTGCATACTATAGGGACCTAAATAATTACCTATACTATTTTGGGGGTTCTTTATTTATAGTATATCGGGTCCCAAAACCCCATTCTAAGTATTAAGGCCCCTATATTACATACTGAAGCCCAAACCGGAGATCAGCAGAAACGTACACAGCCTCTAGAACAATAAGCCAACTTACTTACCCTGTTCTTACTGATAAGGTCCCTCAAGCAAGCCCGCCGGCAGGTTAGGCGTGGTCGACATCTTGGACACAAGTCCGCACTCTCAGGCAAGATATGTGGCGTCAAAGGATTCTCCTTTAAAGCTTTATGGGTTCCTTTGGGCGTTTGGGGTCTGTAGTAGAGTAGAGCTTAGAGCTTCATGCTTAGAGTTTAGAGGTTCAGAGTTCATCTTAGGGATGTATATGGCTTAGCACTCGGCATTCACATCACTGCTGGTTTGGGTTTCAGTCGTCGGCTAAGACAGTTCAGAACAGATCCCGGACTCCTTTCAGGCTTTAGGGTCTAGGCCGGTTCAGGGCGGTTTTCGGTTTACTGTACTGTCCCAGCTTCTTATAGCCTTTTGGTGACCTACTGTCAGGATTCGTTTCGTCTCGCCCACAACATCCTAGCCAATGCCCAAGAGCCTTACCCATAGCCCCCATAGTAGTTCCTTTTTGGGGTTACCTTATAGGGTTCTATGTATGAACCCCAAAAAGGAACTACTTTAGGGCCTATGGGTAACCCCAACACCCTACGCCCCACGCAATCCCTACACCCCCAGACCTCCAACGGCCCCGACCTCGGCCGTGAACTCGACCTCCAGAGGCAGAGCCTCCCACCCATGTCAGTCTTCATCCTTCGTCATGCCCTAAACCCTAACCCCTAAAACCCTAAACCCTAGACCCTAAACCTCTAAACCCTAAACCCCCATGCCCATGAACTGGGAGTTTCCGAAAGCAGAAAAATACCCCAACAAGACCTGGCCCTTGGCGGTTATAGGGACCGCAGCTCTGGGATCCCCTAGTGCTCTTGCAGCTGCCATGTTGTGATTTGTTACACAAGCGACTGCGAGTTTGTTCTTGTTGTCGTTATGCTTGCCTACGGAACAGCTGAGTTTCAGGCAGATTTTCGGTGCGTTTCAATAGAGACTTGCTTAGGTTAGTTTCAGGAGACTTGCTCAGGTTAGTTTCAGGGTTGTAGGTTCGGGACTGAGAAGGCAGAGCCAGGTGATCAGTTTAGGCAGCACCGTCGTGATGAATTCTCTCCGCCCCCACCCCAAACCAAAACCCGCAACCCTCGCGAAGACCAGCAATCCCAGAAAAAAACGATCTAATGCCTTCAAAGATCCCAATGTACTTCGAACACACCTCCTCCATGTTGTTGCACTGCTTCAAAGGCAAAATTTCAACTGTCCCCGCTTTCCCTGGACCTCCGTCAGACGGGACCCCTCCGACCCCGTCTCATCCAAACTCGGGATGTGCAAATCATTCGCATGGTTTAAACGGGTTTGGGATGGGAATCTAGGACTTACGTTCAATTCCGATGCTCCTGCCCTGCCAGCTCAAGAAGCTCACGCGGGCACACGAGGAAGCTGCATTCGATATGGGGTGCCTTGGCGAAAATCGCAGTCCCGTACCTGGCAGTAGAAGCGAGTGCAGGTCCTTCCCTCCTTGTTCTCTTGGAACGGAACGACCAGGTTTTCAAAAGTAGTCCGCGCGCACGGATACAAACCCGAGGCACTGGTGAGCTTCACAGCTGAAAACAAAGGTTTATTACAGGCACAAGAGCAGCAGTATGCGGACCTTTATCACAATTCTCCCACCAGATACCTGCTCTAAACCCTAAACCCGAGGCCCGAAAAACCCGAAACCCGAAAACCCTACACCACCCTATTCTACATCCAGGGGTCTTCTGATTCTTGGCATTTCCCAAAGCTTGGGACAAGAGCCCTGGGCTTGCTTATAACTGCTAACTACCATGGCTCCAGGCTCCTTTTTGTCTGCTTACGGTACCCATAGGCCCCGTAGTAGTTCCCTTTTGTGGTTCGTATTGGGATCCGATGAGGTAATCCCAAAAAGGAACTACTATGGGGCCCATGAGTATAGCACACCAAGACCAGCTACCAAGATCGTTTGGGGGGGCCTGTGTCCTGAGCCCCCCTTCTAGGTGTCCTTTAAGGGCTCCTTTATGGGTCCTTAAACCTGAAAAGCCGTTCTTGTGCGAACGGCAGAAAGTTGGGACTGATTCGGCTCGGACTTGAGGGGCCTGAAAGATAACAGTTCCACGAGTCAGCATACTGACACTGGCATTCACTGAGGGTTTAGGGTTTATAAGGTTTAGGGTTTAGGGCACCGAAACCTAAACCTTAAGCCTTCGTGCTATTCACCCCAATACGGTTTAGGGTTTATGGTTGAGGGTTTATAATACCAACAGCCCGAAGCCGTGACCATAGCCACCTGAAGGATCTCCTCGCGGATGGTGCGGCTGATCGACTTCGCGTCACCGGCCCAGTGAGTCGGATGGCGGGGATCGTCATAAGATGTAATGCAAAACCTAAGGGTTTTAGGGCTTTAGGCTTGTAGGGTTTTAAGGTTTTTAGGGTTTAAAGTTTAGGGTTAGGGTTTTGGGGTTAGGGTTTAAGGGTTTAATGTAGGGGCCTAAATAATTACCGATCGTATTTTTGGGGGTGGTTCCTTATTATAGTTATAGTATAGTGGGCCCCAAAACCCTATTCTGGCCCCCATATTACCTCAGAAGGGTGGAAAAGCATCATCGTGATGGGCTCTACAGAACACGTTGCTCGGAGCTTACTGCACCGAGGAACGTAGATGTTAGCGTTCGGGGTTTAGGGAGTTCGCCTAGAGGTCTTCGGAGAAGGGTTAGGCTATCCTGAACCCGAAGCCCTAAACCCGAAAACTCCAAGCTCCCCAGCTGCAGAAACCCGGCTTAGGACTTTGAATTGTGGGCTTCACTATGAGCAACTCTAAGCAAAGCACCCTAAACTTTAAACCCGAACCTGTAAGAAACCGCCCCATTGTAACTAAAACCCGAACCCCTAAAACCCCCCAAAACCCTAAACCCTAGAACCACCCTAAACCCCTAAACCTCTAAACCCTGAACCCTAAATCCTAAATCCTAAACCATCCTAAACCCCTCAAACTTCTTTGCTTCGTTTTGAGCTTCCGAGGTGCATTTGGGAGTCGAAGATCGAAGTCGAAGGCGGCGAAATCTCGCGGAATGGGGAACGGGGTTTTGGGGTTTAGGGTTTCGGGTTTTGTAGGCTGTTGTCTAGGTTTTAGGATTGGGGTTAAGGCTTTGGGATACGATTTTGGGGGTATGTCCCATTATCGGTACTGAAAGGAACCCATTAAGGAATAGCAAATAGTAGGGGTGTAGGGCTTCAGAGGTTTGAGTGTAGAGTCTGGGTTCAAAGGCTTCAAGGAAGAGCCTTCATTCAGAAAGCTGTGGTCCTCGGTAGGGCTCTTTAGGTTTCGGGTTTGGGAATCTGCAGAAGTTGCAGCTTCAGAGTGTGTTAATCTAGATCCCTGAAGGTAAGGGGGCCTCCTATCCTCTAGAAGTACAGGATCCCAAATGGGAGTTTCAGAAAATTAGGGTACCTTATTTGGGGGTCCCTATAATAGGGATCCTATTAATTAGG